GCAGTCTGGGCAGGTCAAGGCAGCAGCACCCAAATATACATCCTAATACAGGATGTGGGGTGGGCCAGGCTGCAACTGGAAGGGGGAGGACTGGGCAGGGCTGAGCAAACTTTAACTCACGAGAAAGAACAGAAATCAGGCTGGAGCACAGGTCATGCTGAGTAGGTATCTGCGTGAGCCAGGGACACTAAGCCGCAGCAGCTAAGGCAGTGGCCAGAACAGGTGAGGGGCTCTTCCAAGCTGAGTCAGAGCAATCACTGGCCTGCACATAATCTAAGGCTGGGAATAGGCCCAGTTGTGGAGCTAAGGGGACACCAAAGCTGGGTTGAGGTTCCCACCAAGGAGCACATGGGCTGGAATGGGGGCTGTGTTCTGATTAGGATATAGCACAAGTGTGGATGGGGACTGGACGCACCAGGCCAGGCCATATCCAACACCTTCTGGTGTTCTGGAGGACCAGGATAGATGTGGGACAGATTAGGCTAGGTCTCAACCCCTACTGAGCCATGTGTGAGCTGTACTTGGGTGTGGACGAGCCATGGTTGGGCTGAAACATCCAACAGCAAGAACCAGATTGGGTCGAAGGCCAGTCAGGAAAAGCCACTGTTCCTGTTAGGACAAGAGGTGAACTGAGTAGGGCTGGCTCATGGACCCACTGGTATGTGCAAAATCTGGCATTGCGAGAGGTTCTAATGGAAGAGCCTGGGCAACCCCTCTAGCAGGACACAGACCCAGCAGGTAAGTGCAAGCAGTACAATAGGAAACAGCCCAGAACAGGCTATGGAAATTATCCCACTGGCATACATTTGGCATGGGTTGGGGGCAGACCAGGTTGAACCTGTTCACCCGCTGGCGAATTTCAGCACCAGAATAGAGTGCAGGTCAGGCCAGGTTCAGTTGTAACACATACCAGTGCACATTAAGGAATGCCAAGGTGAGATGAGCTGTACCAGATGTGGTTGCAGCACCCAACCAGCACAAGTGAAAACTGGAGGGAGAAGGCACAGCCAGCAGGGGAACGTGGGCTCCCCTGCTGGACAACCACTTCCATTGGAAAGCGTGAGTCGGGATGGGGGCAGACCAGACCTGGCAGGGCTACAATACCTGTGGGCCTCATGTGAGCTAGATTAGGGAAGGGCCAGGTGGGGCTGACTGTTCCGACTGGTGCAAGCAAAAATTAGAGTAGGTGAGGGATGGTTGGGCTTAGCCACAACATCAGATGGCAGAGACTGGCACTGGGAGCTAATTCCGTCAAGTTAAATGCCAGAACCACCTGGAGAGTGCAAAATCCAGAAGTTGGAGTGGCCTAGAAGGGAGATAGTGGGCACCTCCCTCGTGGGTTACCACTCCCATGGGAGGGCATGAAAACCAGGACAGGGATAGGGGTGGCTAGACAGAAAGGCACCTGCCAGTATGTGTTTGGGATGAATAGTAGGTTGGTTGGGTTGAACTAGGCTGATTCGGTGACAGACTGTGCCAGACCCAGTATTGGCAAGCACACACAAGAATCAGGCCTGGGGTCACCTCAGATAAGGTATCTTTGGGGATTTCTGTCTCCACCCCCCGCACCCCACCATTCCCAATTGAACCACTGGACTCAGAATTCTAACCATGGAAATAATTGCATTTTTCGTGATCTGACCATCGAGTACATGTGTCAGAGCTAAGCCTCTTCAGTGGCTTAGATGGAGCAGTAGACAGTATGTCCAGCTGAACAAGGAGGATACGGCAGAGTATTGGAGCCTGCAGAGGACACCTGGTACCATAACAAAGGACAGAGGACAGAACAAATTGATCAACTACCCTGAGTGTTTGCAGTAAATATCTGAGCAAACAAAGACTCCAAGGTGAATTATATCAGCCAGTGGATTCTGCAGAGATTTCATCATGACTGGAGAAGAAGATCGGTAGTAATTCAAAACTGTTGAACTATCAAAATCACTTTAGCAGGACCTTCAGAACATGCCCCACATTGGGGACGCTGGGATGATTGGGAGACTGGACATGGCTTCTCCCCTATCTCCCCTCTCCCTCTAGATACAGGAAGGAAAAAAAAAAGAGAATGTGGAAATAATGGTCTCATCTATTTTCCTCTAGCCCTTGACCCTTCACACTTTAATCAACTATGTAAAAACCAACAAAAAAATTTTTTTTTTTAAAAGTTGGTCTTAGGAAGTTCATGGTGGTAATGAAAAGCTGTTAGGGGTGGACAGTGTTTTGAGCTTTGACAACAAACTCTCTTGTTTTGCTTAGCACTAATTTTATATCCCACTACAGAACCCTAAGGTATATGCATGTTAGATGTGTATAGTAATAACTTGCGTACACAAAGTATTGCTGTAGTTTCATATCATTACTTGATTTTGAAGGCATTAATAGGAAAACCTGCCCACTAAGGCAATGAGATCTCAGGTTTTGTAACAGTATTGGCTTTTAAGTAAAAGGAAAGTATGAACTTGGTGTGCATTCTATTAAGACTCAGCAGACATTAGAAAGGCAATGCTAGTTCTTCCCTCTCTCCCCTACTCCACCATCCCTCCCAGTGTATATAAACTCCAAATCAGTGTGGGCTCAACTGAAGAGAGTTGACAAACACTGCTAAGAAATAAGCAGAGAAGTTCTTTGAAACAACCAAGTGAGCCTGACAACAACGAATCTTTCAATGTCAGTGTTAGCCATTGAGTTGCCATCTTAACATAATGGAGAGTAGATGTGTTCCCAAAGCATAGTTATTTTGTTATCCCTTCTTTGCCTGGACTAGCATTTCTACACACTGTGCACACTCACACATGCACACACACACATATTCTTTCACACAGGTACCAAAGGTCTTAGGCTGATAGTTCCTCTCCATTTCTATATTTTAAAAATGAGGATATGAACCAAACAATGATGAAGTGCCTCTGGTCTCATGTTCAGTGGTTCTCAGAGGCAGGAGGCCAGTAGATTCCCACTGCGTAGTTTCAAGGACGCTATCACATGAACACTCCCTCCGGACAACACACACACTCTAGCATTCACCCAAAATGCTTCAGGTCCCACAAGTGGTCAGGGGCCTAAATAGTGAGCATCTCAGTCTAGAAAATCAGAAAGAACCAGCATCGTTATCATTTAAATATTTATTTGCCATTTTCATTCTTTTTATCCCATCACTACAAACTATGGAGAATGGCTGGAAGCCATGTGTGAACATGCAGCTGGCTGAGTGACACCCATGGCTCAAGCAAGGCAGAGGTCACAGTGAGCTTAAGCTGCAGAGTCTGGAACGACAGCAAGTGATCCATTGGAGGATCTCAGCAGAGAAGGTCACCTCCCAACTCCCAGTCATTTTACCTTTAAAACACTAAAAACTGCTACATTCAATATCTTTTTTTTTTGCTCTAATAATAAAAAACCAAAACCTTCTATAATTTATAGGTTATCTTTTTGCTATCTACATTATATATAAAATATAAGACTCTGTTTACTTTATAACATACACCTTTTTTCCCTTGATAAATAACTCTTTAAAATATCTAGGATACATGCCTTGACTTTTTATATATGTTTGGTTTTATACATATATTTACACACACATATATATACTCATGATTGTAAAACAATAAATATATACTCAACAATGACAACCAAACCAATGCAATTTTGGTTTCAAAGCACAGCAAAGTAAAAAAACAAAAATGAAGTATGTTAAAATCACCAGGCAGTAAACAGGAAGTTGTAATGACTAGAAGCTTCTCCCTCCCCTGGCAAAGCGTAGGGCAAAACACTCAGTCTGGATGCCTGAAAGAGAAAGAGGGCAGCAGAGGGGACAGGGAAGGTCACAATCTCTGTCCTTTAATCTGAGGTCTAGTCTCAGCATCACAAAGAAGCTTGAATAAGGGGCAACAAAGTGGCTCATGCACTAACTTAGTCCCTGTGGTGGCTGCTGAAACATGGATGGGGAAAGGAGACCAGTTATTGAGCCTCCACAGACTAGCTGCTAGTCTCTGGCCAGGCAACCTTTGGTTGCCATGCTAAACATCAGGCCATTGTGTGTAGTATTTCTTATCACTCTACTTCCAGCTGATGCAAACAGAAAGGAGTGCACCCCATTCAAGAGTGGTCAGTAGTGTAGTATCCAAGCTTCTACAAGCCTGAAGGAGGCTCCTCAGAGGCTTCTCGAGGGTGCCAGCAAGTAGAGACCATGATATACCAAGAGAAAGCTAGTGGGCCTCTGCCTCCCACTCCTAACAGATATGATCACTCACCCACAGTACTGTTTCTCCTCTGGATTCCAGTGGGACCATAAAACCAATCACCTTCTGGAGATGCACTGGAGGTCTTACCTCCTTGGAAAATCCCTAGTCAGTCTGGCTGTCCCAAACCTCCTGGTCCCCCACCTGTTGGCTCCTGTGCCTGGGATGACACTGATGGGCATATGCACAACACTAGAATCACACTGCACATATACTCATGGCTCTATCACCCTCCTCCTGCTTCCAAAATGGGAAGTGAAATGCAAGGTTCTGAGGTTGCTGTTTGTTTTGTTTTTGTCAATAAGTTCCCCGATGTCATGGCCTCTGTCCTATTAACTTCAGGGCTAGAACGGACAAAGAAAGTAGACGGTGGGGAGGCCCAACACAGTACCTTAGCAACTAAAGTCCTTGCCTTGCTCACACTGGGATCCTATATGGACGCTGGTTTTACTTCCGGCAGCCCTGCTTCCCATCCATCTCCCTGCTTGTGGCTTGAGAAAGCAGTAGAGCACGGCCCATTGTACCCATGTGGGAGACCTGGAAGAGGCTCCGGGTTCCTGATTTCAGATTGGCTCAGCTCCAGCGGTTGTGGCCGCCTGGGGAGTGAATCAGTGGACAGACAATCTTCCCATCTCCCCTCCTCTCTGCATATCTCACATTCCAATAAAAATAAATCTTTAAAAAATAATAAGTAGATGGTGGGAGTAACTGGAGTTGTAAAGTAGTTGGAGCCTAATTTTGTGTATAGGGGTAGAGTTTAGTGGGAAAGAGGCAATAGAAGTATAACAGGCCTCAGGAAATTCCATAGATAAAATCCGAATGTTTGCACCCCACTGGAATCCTTGCCAAATAAAATATAAATTTGAGGCCAACATTCACCTCATAACAACACAGCATTTTAAATAGCTACTTTCCTGAATATCGTCAAGGCATAACTGGTTTTGTAATACATTTATCTTCTCAAAATGACTGGTTTGCAACAGCTCAGAGGAATAGTATCCCGCAGGTATGAGTTCCAATTCCAGCTTCTCTACTGACAGCCTAGGGACAAGCCATTCTCCTTGGCAGAGCCTTCTTGCCCCACCCAAGTATGCTGAAGTTGCTGTATGAAGCAAGGTACCACGTGGAGTTAGAGAACTCGGCTTGTCATCCAGGATCCCCCTATGAGAACCAATCCTGGTGATACACCAACAGGTTCCCTGGCGGGGGTGGTAATAAAACTGAAAGGAAAGCATGAAGACTGGACTTTGAGGCACATTGCCATGCAACTGGATTTATTTCCCCTCCAGGAACTGTCAGAATAGAATCCCCTTCCCCGAGAACAGGCACGTTCCTATGTCACATCCAGGTGGCCCTAGCACCATGTTCCAGAGACCACCTACAGCAGTCGCCCAGCAATGTTTCTGAAATCCCCAGCCCTGAGGTATGCGTCATCACCTGCATGTTAAATCCATTTTAAGGAAGCCAAGTGGTAATTTCATTGTGGAAGGGGAAGGAAAATTGACTGCTTCTCTTGGAAGTCCCATAAGGAAACTTGCAGCAGACAGGAATGGGAACCATGTTCTGCGGGAGAGTGTCAGTCAGCTGTGTGGCACTGCAGTCTCTGCTCATCCATACCCTATGGTTCCATGAGGGCGTTAGGGTAGACTCCCTCCCTCTGCACCAGCATCTGATGAGAAGCACGCATTGAGTCTTTCCTCTTGGGAGGCAAGTGTGATTTGGAGGAGTCAGGGTTCAAGTGACCAATCCCCCAGTCCCAGCTTCTGGTGAATAACTTCTGTGCAAGTTATTTTTCTCCTGTGTTAAAGGAGAATAACAATACCTGATATTGCGGAGTTGGTTCATAGGCAGAAGGAACAGACTTTAAATACTGTATACAGAGTAAATGAGCTTTGGAGATGGCCAGTCTCACAGTGGTCACAAACTCTGAACTGCCTGGATAAGTGCAAAGCATTCCCAAGTGGACTTTAACCAACGCTGTCACTGAGAACTTGGAATTTAGGCCAGCTGCTACGGGTAACCAAGGGCATGCACACATGATGGGAATAAGGGAGGAAACTCATGAAGAACTAAAATGCTGCCTCAGTTACATCAGGCCTTTGAATACATTAAAATTTCTGTGATTCAACTTGATGGCATCACAGCCCCCGAAGGCACAACCAGGGGTGCTGGCCTCAACAAAATCCCTCTGCTGTGTGGTGCTGACAGCTCATGATTTCAGCTTCCTGTTTGCAATCAATTCCACTTTCACGCCGAAAAATGTTGGAAAACAAAGGCAAAAGAAGCACTAGAGAAATACTGTGCATCTGTTGACTATGATTTCTTTTTAATATTGAACAAATTAACTGCCTAGGCCTGTCCTTATATTCCTACATCTACTTACCACATGCATGTCAGCAGGTAAGAGTTTAATACACATATTAAAATGTCTCATGCTTCTCAAAGAAATCTATCCCCTTCCTGTCTACCCTAGTCCCACATGAGAATATTTGTTTTACACGCTGCATATTTATCACTGCACTGAGAGGCATTTGCATGGGAGAGAAAATCCTCCAAAGTGGTGTGGCTAAAAGTACAGAAAAATATCCTCATTTGTGTTTTAATTGACTCAGAAAAATAAGCCTCCTTGACCTTAATTACAGTCATGAAGGCTAGCTAGTAAAAAAACAACCATTCTTTCCACTCACTTTTCACAGAAACCACTTCTGCAGAGAATAGAAAAAGAACCACAAGGGCACAGGACAGGACTTCCTGTCCAGTGCTAGGAACCTTCCACCCCATTGAGCCTCCTGTGTGGAAGCAGCAGTGGCAATGCTGGGACACTGAACGTGATGTCTGCCACCAAGTGAGGGACAAGAACAGGCCAAAGAGTTTCAGCTCTCGGGCCCTCCCATGTGACAGGCAGACAGGCAGGACATAGAGCGAGAAGTGGTTTCTCCAAGGAAGCCTGGAAGAGGACACTTACACCTCTCTGCTAGACACACGTATCCAGCAGTCGAGGTATGTGTCAGACACACCTCTGGGTAGCCAAAGGGAGGAGGATATGATTCGTGGGACGTTTTGTTCTCAGATGTCACCTACTGTGAGGCTGGGGGACAGGGGACTCCAGATATCTCAGATTCCCTCTAGTTCTATATGAAGATAAGTCTGATTTGCAGCTGCCTGACTGAAAACCATGCAGGCAGACACAGGAGTTACGCTGCACTGGATAACAAAAGGCTCACTCTTCTTTCTCAAAATGGACCTTATTCATGTGTTTAAGTCCCAATTTTTTTAGAGAATGCTTTTAGGGATACTGGACCACAAGACCCAAGTGTGTGTATGTGTGCGTTTTGCCATCTGCCTTTGACTGCCCTGGCCTTCTACTTCCCCATCCATAATGAAAGCTCTGTAAATAGAGGGTGAAAAGACAAGTGAGACAGGAAAACCAAACAGAATTGTTGTCTACCATCTGCCTTCTAACCCTAAATGTACCCTTGCTTTGCACACACTGAAAAGTCACACTCATGGTTATCCTTCAGTTTTAATACCTATTCACAAAAGTGCAGGCTCCAGAACCCTGAAAGCAAAGGCCAACCCAAGAAAAAATATATTTGTCTGTCTCTCTCTCCATGAAAGAAGATTCTGTCGAGTGTAACAGAAGGTTTCCCTTTTAAATCCACATTGATGGGTATGTCTCATCAGAACCCTCCAGCGTAGTTAAGAAAAGATGGGTTAGTTAGTGAACACCACCAGTACTGAGGGCTACACCATCCTGCTTTTGGTCTTTCTGTTCACTCTGTAACACTGAGGCATGGGATTGTTCCCAGCCTGGTAGCCTCCTTGCTGTGGCCCAGAGTCGCCTCCAAGCTTCCACAGCAAATCCCTCTGCACCCAGTTCCACCCACCCTGTGTATTGGGTAGTTAAGGGGGTTCCTTGCAGGTGCCCACTGCTAACAAGCTCAGAGGCTAGCTTAGTCTCTGTCCCACCTGTTGTCACACGGCCCATGCTTGCTGTCACCTTTGAGCTTCTGAACCTTGCTCATACTCCCAGACCCATTCCAGAGGAGAGGTGGCAGGTCACTGAAGCAGGGCTTCCTTAGAGGAGGCCCAATCTATCACGAGAGCTGTACGCTTTGCTGCTTGGCGCTTTTCCCTTCTCAGACTTAAAGACAGCTATAGAGGTAGCTTGCCCCCTCCTCCACCTCTTCCCAGATGGGCAGGCTTGCACAAGGGAGTGGTGGCTGACCCAGCTCCCACTGAGTGCCATTTGATCTAGTGCCTTGACCTTACAGAATTTGTCCCACTGTGTGTGGGTGGATGAGGTAGGGAGGGAAGCATGCCCTCCTTGCTTCTCACAGTAAAGGGCAGCAGAAGCAGCTAACCTACCTGTAGGGTGTGCACACCTCCTACCCTGCTGTACTCCCAAGCCAATAGCCTCAGCTTGCCTTCCCCACGCACTCCTGTCATCACCCTCTTCTCTGGGCACCCCACGCAGGAAGTCCCAATCCCCTCCCCAGCCAGCATCAGCAATAAAGGGACATCCGGCTGCGGCGCATGGCCTCGCTGATCAGGTAGGCAGGGCTCAGATCAGGCTCCTCAGTCATGACGGCAATGTTCTGCCACTCCCCGGTCTGGCTCGACCGCTTGATGGTGTCCACCACACACAGAGCATAGAGGCAGTCGTCGAAGGTGGCGGCCATGGTGAGCGGCCGGCCATCCCACGTGCGCCTGTCAGCCTGATCCTGGAAGGCCTGGCGCACAGCCTGCATCATCTTGATGGTGCCTCGCAGGTAGGGTGACGGGATGTCACTGAAGGCCTTCTCGGGCAGCAGTGAGTTGCTCACCGGCGTGGCATCCTGTAGCAAAAGCTCCTGGGCGGGGGCACTATTGCGCTGTCCATATAGGTCAGTGCCCATGGCCAGCAGGCGCCCAGCCGAGCCTACCACTGTCACGTGCTGCTTGAACTCACCCGGCACGTTGAAGTTGAGGGTGACAGTGCAGCAAACGCCACCCTCCAGCACCATCTGGAAGGTGCAGAAGTCATCGCTAGTGATCTGACGGATGCCCTTGATATGGTCCGTCTGCTTGACAAAGGTCCGCAGTAGCCCATGCACCTTGACCGCCTTCTGGCCTGTGAGGAAGGTAAGCAGGTCGATGATGTAGGTGCCCACCGAATGCAGGCCGCCACCGCCCATCAGATCGTCGCAACTCCAGTTGTACTTGGTGCCCAGCAGGCTGCCACTGTGCACCTGCACCTCGCACACCAGCAGCTCGCCCACGTAGCCCTCCTCCAACAGCTGCTTCATGCGCACAAAGGCCGGCAGGAAGCGCAGCACGTTGCCCATTATGCTCATGAGTTTAGGGTAGTAGTGGGCAGCCGACATCATGCGGAAGGCGTCCAATGGTGTGGCTGTGCGGTCACAGATGACGTTCTTGCCGATGCCTGCGGGGAGAAGGGGGAGGAGAGAGAGGGTGAGTGAGGCCGACACCCCGGTGCCTGCTGCTTCACAGGGATCAATCACCTCATGTCGCTATAAGCAAAGCCCACATTTTAGGCATTTCAGTGTTAACTGCTTAATATTTCTATCCATATTGAGGAACTTAGACTCTCACATCTAAGTAACCCACACGTGGGGACTTTAAAAAATTGGCAAGAAGATGAAGTTTTGTTTTGTACCCTCCTCCCCCACGTACATTTTGGAAGACCCTCCCGGGATGCATGGGTTTCAGGATTGAGGAGGGAAGAGTGGGGTGTAACCAAACTAAACTTTTAATTCTGCTTTCCATTGATAATTTTGAAGTGATCTCAAACTTTACAAGTGTGTTTTTAAAATATTTGCCAATATTTAAAAATATATAAAAGGCTTCATTTGATAACTATTGACACCTATGGTATCTTAGTTGCAAACATGTTTTCCTTAGAAAATATTTCAACTTGCATCACTTCTAGGGCTTTTTAGCTAAGATAAAGTGTAGTATCTGTTATTAGTTTAATATTTCATCTATTAATATTTGTTAATATTTTATATGTAATTTACACAATGTGTGCAATTATGTTTTATTTCATAGGCAAACAATTTTATTTAAAATGTATTAATATATGAGATAAATATGATATGTATAGCATATGTACATACATTATTTCATACTAGCATATATACATATATATTGTACCAAATATGCTGTCCATATCTGGACAGAACCACAATACAATACATAGTTTAAATACTAGCCAAGGGGAATGTGACTTACAACAGAGAAGAATGTCTTTATGATAGCTCCGAAGCTCTAAGCTGTTGGCTGTTTTATTCCGCACCCTCTCCTCTCCACCTCCCAGGAATGTATTTTTGAGTGTTATCTCGTGTTTATTTTGCATTCTGGATTAGGGCTGGCAGAACAAGGATGTATTTGTTTGATGTTTTCCTCAAACTTGCCTGCCTCTGAGAGGGTGGGCAGCACCTGGTTCTTCCCCAACTCCCCCTGCCCCCAGCGTGGGATTTGCTGCTCTTGGCCCACAGAGCTCAGATAACATAAACATTAGTCTAACACCGTAAAGAGTAGATAGTATACAGTCCCTCATGAGGCAAAACAGCTTGGAGCCTGGAGTGAATGGGATCAAAGGAAAGGAGGGTGGCAGGGAACAAGGGGACTTATGCTGCAGAAGCTGGAGAAGCAGGAGAGAAGGGAAATAGCTCTACCTTGACAGAGGACCCCTGGAACTCAGAGGTAATAATTACAGATTTTCCAGCAAGCCACAGATGTTGGATACTAGAGAAGACACAGGGAGCCATTGAATCCAGGCATGCACCATCCATGCACTCACACAGACCCTCTAGCTCAGACCTGGGTACTCCAGTCACAGATGAGAGATGCCTCAAAGGCTACATATCCCTGCTGTACCCAATCAACAAAATCCATTAACCCCTGCAAGAAGCTGAGCTAAGCTGGTGTGGTGGAAGCTGCCTGTCCAGGGAAGGTGCCTGGACAGGACCGCGGCCTAATACATGGCAATCTCATTCTCGCATTGAAAGAGGTGGCACTAGCAAAAGTGACAGAAAAGAGACAAACCATGGCCATCTATTTTCATGTGCACTTCTAGTGCTGGCCCTGAGCACAAGGTGCCAGTGGCTACAACAAAACCCACATCCCCTTGCTGCCTCTTCTTTTATTGGGACAGCATGACCATGCATGAGCTATGAGCAGCTCTCTGAACTCCAGCAACCAGGTGATAATGGAGGTTCTGATAGGGGGTGAGGCGTCACAGGTTTGCATTGCCAGGACAGACATGTACCTGCACCAAGTAATGCTCTAGTAGCAATGATCTGAATGGCAACAGGACAGGTAAAAGGTTTTTATGTAAATAGACTGGTGTTTCACTGCAGGTACAGGTGACAGGTACTGCCAGTATCTGCTTGACCCCTGATGGCTTTAGGCTACTCTCTGTGACACCTTACCTCAAGGTCTGCATGATCAAGATGACTGACTCCATCTCCTTAGTGTATTCTAGTGGTCATATTACTGGCACTTGTCTATTTTTTCCATTATAGATATAGATTATAATCTCTTGATATCTAATTCTTGATCTCTCAATCTCTGTATTTTTTATGCAATAATATCTGCCTCTTTACCTCTCCATCTCTCTCTACATATATAATCCATAAGTCTGGATTTATTATACATATAGTATCTAAAATCTGTAGCTCTGTCTATATCTTTCTCTAGAAAGGGAGATACAGAGAGTGAGACAGGGGTAAAGGAGAGGTGAAGATAATAGAGAAGGAGAGCAAGAGACAGATGGATATGGAGACAGAGAGAGCGAGCTAAAGAAAGATACAGACAGAAACAGAGCAAGAGAGCCAGGCAGAGCAAGAACGCCAAATAAAAAGATACCGAGACAAACAGATAATACAGTGAGAGACAGATGCAGAGAAAGACACAGCGACAAGCACACAGTGCAAGGACAGAGAGCAAGACGAGCTAGAGAGAAAGGAGAGATACACAACAAGAACACAAACAACACACAGAGACAGAGTGAGAGGGTAAGACACAGGAGTACAGCGACAGATATGCCCCCTCCCAACAAGTAGCAGAAAGTTTCTCCTAACCCCAATTCTTTCTAGGCAATCTTTGCAATATCCATGCTACAGAGATGGGACCAGAGCATATATGACACACTCCAAAATCATCTGTGACTTCCAGGAATCTATCTCAAACAAGTCACCTAAAACACAGGTGCAGCTTCTTGTCCAAAGAGCTCAACCATGCATTATTTATTAAAGCAAAGTGAACAGTGCAAATGCCCAACAATACAAGAATGGACAAGTGAAATGCCCACCAGCCCTATAGTAGAACACTGTGCAATCAGAGAAAATACTTATGAAGATGGGGCCAACGGCAAGTAGGATGACACTCATGTCATATTCCATGAGAAGGGCTCTATTCATAAATATGCTATGACCTCAGCTCTCTATTAAAAAAAAGAAAGAGAGAAAAGAAACAAACAAAAAAAGCCTGGAAGGGAATCTCTCAATATGTTTACAGTGACTAAGGAATAAAATCAATTTTTCAATTCTCCTCGATATACTTTCTCTGTATTTTCTGTTTAGATTTTTGCAAAGGGGAAAAAAAAAATCAAAATCCTTGGATTAAAAAAAAAAGTTAGGAACATGCTTCTTTAAACGCAGCATTCACGCTGGTGGTTAAAAGAGCTGCCATGGTCCAGGAGATAGGGGAGAAGAGGATCCCCATCTCCTGTGTCCTGGGGAGCCCGCCACCGGCCCAGCGCATTGTGCATCCAGTGGCTTAGGATCCCTTTAGGATCTGGGTGGCAGCAGTGGCCTCCCTTCAGCACATGCAATTCACACATACATACACCCCACTTAACCCCCAAGTTTCTTTACAATTTGAGCTACAGGCATCTCCAGTGTCCTTCTTAAAGCTCTTGGGACATGGTACTAAGCTTAAGTCAATGCTCCCAATTCAAAGGACCCTGTCAGGAAGCACCAGCAGACCCTTCACAAGTTAGTAAGGCAAAGTTCTGCCTTCTCCTTGCTGTATAGACCATCCAGCCAGCCATGGTTCTGGCTGTGCAGGATTCCTGCACCGAGTAGCCACTTGGATTGTTCCTGGAGGAAGCAGACAACTGTTCTGTGTATCACCTATCATGTTCAGCCTGGGTTCTGGAGCTGGCTCCCTAACAGATACCAGGGGTCTTCAAGACTCTTCTGTCCCAGCATGCTGCCTTTCTTGCCACCACCAGAGCAAACATTGCAATGGATTCTGTTTCAAAACCCCTATCTCTATCTCTAGCACTGGACAGAATTCAGTCAGGACAGTGTTACCCTCCCCCCCAAAGCACATGCTGTGACATTTCTAAGGCAGGAAGGTTGCTAGGTTCCACCAGGGAGAAAGAAAATGAGGGGTCCTGGAAGAGGCAGAGAGCTGCTGTTATGAGCCCTGGGGGAAAACCAGGTCTAATTCCCAGTGGGGGACCCCAGAGGAACTCGCCTTGCCTTAACTAGAAGCTACCACCTGGGCTCACTGTGTACTGTCACGGGGGAGAAAAAATGAACTTTCTCACTCATGGATGTACACAGTTGCCAGCAGAGACAAGCACACGCCTCTGACACCTGCAGCCATGTACCCATTAGAGTGCCAAGCCAAACAAATGGTTCTGGATCAGACTCGTGTCCTCTGTGGCTAAAGATCCAAATGGCAGTATTGAAATTGGAAGTAAACAAGAGATGGAAAACGTTCAGGCTCTAGTCCACTCCAGAGTGAGCCCATGAGAAGCACAGGGGAAGAATGAGTGTGAGAGGGGGGCCCGGCACAGTAGCCTAGTGGCTAAAGTCCTTGCCCTGCATGCGTCGGGAACCCATGGGTACTGGTTCATATCTTTGGCTGCCCCACTTCCCATCCAGCTCCGCGTTGGTGCCCTGGGAAAGCAGTCAATGACAGCCCAATGCCTTGGGGCTCTACACCTGCATGGGAGACCCAGAAGTGTCTCCAGGCTCCCGGCTTCAGATTGGTTCAGTTCCAGCAATGGCTGCCACTTGGGAAGTGAACCAGTAGACAGAAGATCTGTCTCTCATTGTCTCTGTAAATCTGACTTTCCAATCAAAATTTAAAAAAAAAATCTTAAGGAAGAAAAGAAAAGAAAAGAAAAGAAAAGAAAAGAAAAGAAAAGAAAAGAAAAGAAAAGGAAAGGAAAGGAAAGGAAGGGAAAGGGAAAGGGAAAGGGAAAGGGAAAGGGAAAGGGAAAGGGAAAGGGAAAGGGAAAGGGAAAGGGAAAGGGAAAGGGAAAGGGAAAGGGAAAGGGAAAGGGAAAGGGAAAGGGAAAGGGAAAGGGAAAGGGAAAGGGAAAGGGAAAGGGAAAGGGAAAGGGAAAGGGAAAGGGAAAGGAAAAGAAAAGAAAAGAAAAGAAAAGAAAAGAAAAGAAAAGAA